GCATAACCTCATAATATCTTGAATACCAAACCTGCAAATTTCCCTATTGTAAACTTCCTAGAAAAAAATTAATTAAGCTTGAAACACATGTATCAGCCCAAAGAAGAGTTTTTGTGGGAAGAGTTTAAATTTATATAATTCTCATACATTATTTTACCAAAAACAGAAGAAAAGGGTGTGTGATGTTTTCTAGTGACTTCACGACTTTGGGGGAGAAGCTGCTGGACCCTGTCAAGGCAGCCAGACCTTTTGAAAGGAACAGAATAGATGGAAATTTGAAACAAAATGTTCAGTGGAAAAGTTACAAATTGTGACAGAAAGTTTTCTTTTGTGCACAAAAGTCTATTTTACTGAGATTATCAAGTGTGTAATTCACATTTTTCAAGTATAGAAAAGTATTCAGATAGGGTCTTTTGCACGATAATATTCTTCAAATACCATGGGATTTTAGGCATAAAATAAGGAGGAAATGTTTTATTATGATAAATTGCCTTTCTTGTTAAGAATTTAATATCAAATTTTGATGGCTATGATACTATGACAGTTTTTCAGAGTTAAGATTCACAATCTGAAGGGTGAAGTTGTAGAAAATTAGTTGCTTCGTCTTGTCTATTTGAGTAAAATTATTATCTTAAATTATAGATATATAAAATTTTTTAACATGTTTTGAATTTTACAAGTATAAAACTATGTTAGAAATTCAAAAACTTTTCATAAAAATTCACAAAACCCTAAGAAACCAAACTTACTGATCAAAGAGGAAATATTTCCTTAAATAAGTTAGTAATTAGCATCAGAAATAAAGGCTCATAGTTCATCAATATGTTTGTAATTTTTGCCCTCTATGATTGGTAAATTAGTGTGGCATATGTATCCATAAAACATGCCCATAATCTAGAAAAATTCCCTATGCTAGAAAAATCTCAGGGCCCCAGCTGCTTCCTTTTGTCTGCAAATGGTCACACAGTGGCAGGAGAGGCGTCCCGATAGCATCCCTAGCCACCAGCTTCGGGAGCCCACACTATACACCTGAAAGACAATATGTCTCCGGAGAGAGGCAGGCGTTCTCATTTTTTTTTGCTAAAATCTGAACTTTTTCTAGGTTCACAAAAGAAGAAGATAGGGAAAGGAAAGGAGAGAAAATACTTGCGTGTGGCTTTTAAAAATCAAGGAAGAAAAAAATCTGTTTGTTTTTTATTAACCTTAGGAATCTGTCTCAGCGTTTTCTACATCCATTGTGCCATTGAATAAGCAATCCAGGTCCACAGTGCATCTCTGAAACTAGAATCCCAATGTTTTTGAATTCAGAAATTCGGAGGATTTAGACAGGAAAGTCAATTTTGCTTTTCCCTGCCCCCCCCTCTCCCCCCCCCGCCCCCCCCCCCCCGGCAGGGGCTGGGCAGCACTGTCTGCTGCCCCCGTTACTGCTCCTGCACCAGCACAGATGTACCACCACATGGGAGAGAGGAAGGTCAAGGGTCATCCTGCGGGACAGGTTAGGTTGCCACCAAGGGGGTTGTTTGTTTCTTAGCGCTTTGCAGATTTTGGAGCTGTGGATAGCGAGGAACTGTAATACTCTTTTTTACTTAGGAAATACCTCTCCCTGGAGAACTTTACCCTCATGATATGCACAGAAAATATGAAGGCGTTAGTGTGACACTAGCACAATATTACCGTTTCTGAGTTTCAGGTTAGTCCTTCGTGTCACACTGGTATAACTTTCAGGGTCGCCTGCTCTCTTTATTGTGTCAGTTCTGGTGCACACATCCACAAACACTCGTTTCAGAGAGGATTCTTCCACGCTGAGTGTATCCCCAGTGCCCCAGGTTTATCCTGCCAATTATGAAATCTCATTGGATCTGAAGGGAATCTTCTGAACAGCATTTCCTCGTCCTTTGTAGGAAAACAAACACATTGTGGATTTTGCAATCCTCCTATCAAATTTAACTTTTTTATTTCTTCACTTTATGATGGCTCAGTGAAATTTGTTGTTGCTCTTATTTGTGGTAAATTCCTATTTGATGTATTGATAGAAATCTTAGTGTTATCTGCTGTAGATCATGGGAACTCTGTGTGTTTTATGAGCAGTGCAGGCAGTAGAAAAGATGCAGCATCAACCCCCTCTATCAAAGACACCGAGACCACATTTTTGCTGGCAGCATTAATAACTACCCAGATGTTTGGGATAAAATCTGGTTAATATTAAAAATAAGAAGACTTTGGTTTTATTCCCAGTTTAGCAAACGACTGTCTCAGAGCCCTTTTTCCTTTCTTTAAGAAGTGATCACTGTTTAGGGTGTTTTATAAGTTGGCATTTATCAGGTGCACTGAACTCTGGGGAGGTGGCTGGATGGGGGACCCTGAGAGAGGAAGCTGGGAGCTTTCAGCACATTTGTTAGGATTTAGCTCCTCATGTCTCTGGAGATAGAGTGACCAGTCTTCCGCTGGGGCAGCTTTCTGTACTGCGGCCACAGAGTTTGGCCAGCTCCCTGACAGGACTGGCCACCTCTCAGTTACTCCAGATGTTTACAGACAGCAGAAAGGCAAATAGAACATTTCTACATCGATGTCCTTGGGGAAGGTTTAAGGGCCATGGATCCCTTCCAGAACGTAATGGATTTGGACGGGCTTCATGCCTTAGTGATTTCTTGCTGTATTTGTCTGTGTAACCTCACCCTGGGGGAAAGCTTGAGAGCCCACTGCAAGCTCCAGTGAGGAAGTCAAACCTGGGCCTGTCATCAGGGAAATTTGTTTGCCAACAAACTAGTGTTTGGTGGTAAGACAATCCCTTCTTCCTTCAACTCCTTCCTTCCCCAAATAAACTGTAGACGTGATGAGAGTGAGTAAAGCCAAGCTCAAACTTCAGCTTCATTGCCTTTCTCACAGTTTCATCCAATAAAAAGTTCATCCCTAAAAAGTGCCTTTTGATAGACATTTAAGGCGCCATGCTAGGCACTGATGAATCAGTGACTCCACTCCCCTTTCTCAGGGACCCTATTATAGCTAAATAGGGGAGAGAAGATCCAGAAATTCATCCTTGTGGGCTCTCAAGTGTTTGGTGAACTGAATATTTGCTCTAACTATGCCTTAGCAGCATATGAATAAAGATTCCAAACCCTGCTTGGGAATTGAATTTTCCTGACCCCGGAGCTTACCTGTTTGAAACCTCCAGTGGCTGACATTGTCTACTGGATCAATTTGAATTCTATCAGCCCGACAGTGCAGGACCTCAAAATTTTGTGCCTAATCTTCTTTTTATTTAGCTTCATTGCCTTTTATATACTATCCACTCTAATTGATCCCTTCGGTTCAGATTACATGGCCTCCATGCTCTGCTGTGTTCCATTGAGGAGATCCAGGACAGACCTCCCCTTTTCTCCTTGCAGACCCTACTCCAAAGCCTATTCCTACACCAGAGTCCATGGGGGCTCCTTCTTTCTTCTGAACTTTTAAATTTTGTTTGAATCTACATGATGAAACACTGCTCATATTGTCAGTTACCTTGTCATTCCTTCCTCTGGCCTCCCACACTAAATTATGAGCCCCTTTTAGCTGAGTTTTTGGGGTTTTTTTGTGGGGGTTTTTTTGTGGAGTTTTTTTGTTCCCCGACCATACCTTCCACATAGCAGGGGCTCCAGAAATGCCTCCAGCTTGTTGGTTATTAATTGACAAATTCTTGCCTTCCCACTTAGATGAAAATAGTTCCAGTACTTGGATGTATTGACTCAATAACAAGTTCAACTTTTCCTTCTGGGTGGTTGTTCAAAGCCAGAATTTACAAACACCCACTACCACTGTTTCTTAGTCCACCTGAAAAATGCCCTTTCTGGGAACAGCTGTAATGTCACCACCCACCACACATGTGTTTCTTTGTCACCACATACATGAACTGAAAGTATTGGAATGGTTTTGCCCAGTGCCACTTGGTATCGGAAGGGCAACTGCTGTTCCATTGCTGTGGGCAGCATTCCCAGCTGGGTGGGGACTCGGGAGGACACGTCCTCCAATTAGCCATCCGACTATTGGAGGGGGGGAGGTGGTGTTGTCCATATGCCTCAGGAGCTCCTGTCTATGACTGTAGTGTTCCTTCCTTCGTATTTCCTTATTGAGCTGCTAGCTCACCGCTTGTTAGATGTTACTGCCCAAGGTCCCTGTGGCCAGTGTTTGCCTTGTTTGGGGTGAGCAGCATGGAATCTGCTAGACTGTGGTCCAAGGCAGGATGCCACAGGGTGAGCGTCATGGACTCTGAGGGGCCTTGGTGGGCCGGTATAGGGAAACACCCTTTAAACAGAACCTCCCCCAGTGGATACCACTAGTTGCCTCTGGAGGTAGAGAGTGGGCGCAAACACCCAGAAATCTGTCCAGAGGGGAACCGAGCATTTGAAGTGCGCTGGTTACACAAGGAGCGGTTAATGTGTCATCTGTACCTGAGAACACGCAAGTCTGTGGGAAAAAGAGTTTCTGGGGCCTGACCTCCTCCTCTGGTATAGTAGACTATACCAGATAGTCTACTTCACACTTCCAGAGTAATTTCCATTTCTAAGTTATTTGTCATCTTCCAGAAAGCAGGTTCCAACGTGTAGTCAATCCTAGCAAAGAAAATTGGCATGTGTGTTAGTGAAGGAGTAACTCTCTGGGGAAAAGCCACCAGGTGGCCTCTCCTCGGAGCCCCAGGAGCCCGTGGCAGCGCCCCAAACCAGGCAGGCACACTGGTGACCCTTCTCCCAGGTTCGGGCTACTCAGGGCCTCGGTCTGTGTGCAAGGTTTGAGAAGGAACCACAGCCACGTGTGAGCTCTGGGCTCTGCATGTTGAGTGTGCTTTTCCTCTCTAGTAAGTTAGTAAGTAAATAAGTAAATACATATAAGGAAAGCACTCCTTCCTCCCACCACTTTTCATTAAAGGGGAACCTATGCGAGGTCTCACCGTGAGGCCTGGTGCATGGTCGAGGGAGGGTGAGTGAGTTTCTTGGCATTCCCTCTGTCTCCGCCCTGTCTTGCAGCAATGAGGTGGTGAGGAGCGACTTGAAGAAGCTGCCAGCACTTCCCACCCAAGCCCTGAAGGAGCACCCTTCCCTGGCCTACTGGTAAGCCGTTTCTCTCCCAGGGGTCTTCTCCAGGAGCGAGCCCTTCTGGGGTGTGTGAGGCTCCAGACCAGAGCCCCCTCCCGGCCATGCAGGGTCACCCCAGACCCCAATTGTATATTAAGTGGCTGGGGTCTCCATGAAACCCGGTTCTGCATTTATTTGAATGACGCAGTATGTGTGACACTCTCCTTTTCCCATTTTCTTTCATTTTTAAAAAAGAAAATCCTCTAGAGTTTCCCGTTGAAAGCTTCCCTCCTTGGAGATCCTTTCATGTGCTGCTCGGGTTTCCTTGTGGAATCCCCTCTTTGATGGCAGGATGTGCGGGGGCTTGAGTTGGGGGAGGGCTGCAGGGATTTTTCTTCACAGAAGAGCAAGGTTGATTCTTTCATTTCCCCACAATGTTTCATGTCTCCTGTGTTAGCTGCCATGAAACATTAAACCATAGTTCATCTGTCAGGCCTGAAACTATTGATTCCGAGTGAGTCGGGTGTCTGAAAGGTGCCCAGATTGGGGGTTGGGTCACAGTGGAGTGGGGCTTGCATTCCTGGGTCCTGTGCTGAATTCTGCTGGGCGCACGGACCCTGACCCTGTCCCTAGGAAAGCACAGTGCAGCTTCCCCGTATTCCTTCTGACTCCTTACCAAAGAGCATCGGAACTGCTTTTATAAAACACAATTTAAAATCCCAGAACAAGTCGATCCTGATAAACTATAACGTGACTCTTACAAACACTTCTGTGATGTGCTTTGTAAAGTTTACAGATTCCTCACAGTTCATCTTATCTCGTGCTTTTCCAGTCCCACGGGGGCTTGAAGGGATTCCTGGGCCAGGGTGGGGCGATCTGACGCACAGGGCACAACAGGAGTAAAAGCCAGTACAAGTCATTTCTCCCCGCGAGGCCCGGGATGGGCAGCTGGGCAGGAACTGAGAGAGCTATGTGGGCTGGCACCCTGATTTCATCCCTCTGAATGCTTTCATTGCCATTCTTCCTTTGATAACTAGTGGCTTTATATCGTTTCAAAGATGGAATCTGTTGCATGTGTCAGCTCCCGGACTTCCAGCCTGGCCATCTGCACCTGTGAACCCCAGCAGATGGCATCCCGTCCCCGTGTTCCTGGAACACTAATGCCCTCTCCCCAGTTCCGTAGGCCCCTGGGCCTTATCTGCTCCCTGCCCCCCCTCCCCCCGCCAAGCTGTTTCTTTTCAGGAAACCAGTGGTGAAGGAGCTAGAGACATAAGGGTTTAACAATGCGAACGGAACTGCTGGCAGGGACTAATGTTAGTGGGTTGTTTGGGAATCAGAGTTGCTTGTAGCCTAATCCATTTCTCAGATAGCTCCTCATTCATTTGTTTCCAAACATTTTTTATACCCCATGCTTATTTCAGAGTTATGAACTCCTCTCTCCCCTCTAACACACTTCTCTCCCCGACCCTTCTGTGTCTCTGTCTCTATCTCTGACACACAGACTCCTTTCTTCCTGTTCACAGGTTCTCTTTGGTCAGTAGGACATCTTCCTCTCCATCCACATCTGTAACTGTCTTTTGAGAACACCCCTCCGTTTCTGTGGCCATGCCAGCACCTCCCCCATCCCTGTTTAGACTCACAGACACCTGGCCACCATCTCAGTGCACCTGAGGATGCAGGACCGGGGAGGGACATGCCCTCAGGCTTCACAGCCCAGGTGATAAACAAATAAGCCAGTAGCATGGGCCATCCTGATGATGAATTGTTTAAAAACACCAACTAACAAATGGGCCTTCACCATATTTCATTATCGTCGGCTGGTTGTGGTTGGCTTTAACATTCCAGCCTACCTATTTCGATTTTTAAAAAGCAGAGACACCAGGAAAGGGATAAATGCTGATCATGCTTCTAATAGATGTAGACTGGAGACAGAGCCAGCCTCCCAAGCTTATTAGACGTTTTCCCACTCTGCCTCAGCGTCACCCCTTATCTGCAGGCTTAACCATGACCCTTTGTAAAAGCTGGAGAAGGCCTTCATTCACACTTCACATCACAGTCTTCATCAAGTTGCCCATAGTTAAAATTGCCTGGTCATTCCAAAATGAAGGATGTGCATTTGCTGTTCTTCGGGGCTCTCCTGCTCTCCCTGGCCTTTGCAGATGCAATGGACAAGCTTGGGCCAAAATAAACCATAGGGAACTCCATCCCACTCGTGAGCGGAAGCATCGCCACCCGGTGAGCAGAGCTGTGGGTCTAGAACCTCGGCCAAGTCCCTGCATCGAGGGGAGCTCCAGTTACTCCACTGCCTCGATTCCCCACCTGGGAAATGGGATGAACCATACCAGCCTAATGTGACTGTACTTGAAGGAGAAAGTAAACTGTTACATAAGGCAATTTAGAAAGTAGTGAGAGGTATATCATAACACTAAGTAACAGAGCAGTAATGTTTCTGCTAGTTTTCCCCATGCCTTTAACAAACTGGGACTTCTCACTCCACGTGATTCCCCTTCCAGGGAGGCATCTGGAGCATAAAGTTATATGCTGAGGGTGACAGAACCAGTCAGGGTCAGGTCCCTGACCCGGATTCTTTCCAGTGCCTAGTTTGTGAATGCTAGCCCACCACATGTTGGGGTCCAGCCCCAGCGGGTCCAGGGGTCCCCAAAGGTGTGGACGGAGTCGGCGAAGAGGGAATGACACGGAGGCACCTGATTTGCCTTTGCATCACCCGTGTGTCTCCTGGACCCCTCCTCTGCAGAGGTGCTTTAACTTAGTGACATGACCCAGCCCAGGGCCAGGGCACAGCCAGCTCCAGTCACTTGTCTTTTTTCTATATGAACTGCCTTGTCCTCCAAATAGTGTCTTGCTATTCTGTTTACTCTGGCTGATAATTATTCCCTTGAGTCCCTAGCACCAGTCTGGGGTAGTTGGGATACTGCAAAGCCCTTGGTCCATCTGTAACTTCCGGAGGAGGGGCCAGAGCAGGGCGGGAGGCAGGATATGTTCCTGGTCAGCTGTATGGCACGTGGGACCACAGTGTTTCAATTGGGGCAAAAGGAATGGGGAAGGTGAAGAGGGAGAAGGGAGAAACTGTGGCCTCACAGATGGTCTCAGACAGCAGGAGAGACAGGGTGAGCGAGGTGACAGGTGAGGGTCCTGCAGCTGTCAGGCACGTTGAGAACCCATGGTCAGGCATTCAGGCAGTGTTTCTGGCTCAGTGGTGTTTTCCCTGAGCCTCGATTGTGTTCAGAGCTGCAGCACTCTATGGATTTTCATCTCTTCAGCTCAGCCAGGTCCTCTCTCTCAGAGCTAAGAGGGAAATAGGCTCATATATACACTGACTTGCTTGACCCCGGATCTAGAAGTTGACCCCACAAAATTCCAGATCATGTGGTAGGAAACGTGCCAATGCAGCGTGGATTCAATGGGCAGGTGGGGAGGAATCTGAACAGGCAACCCTGGGACGTCCTGACCCACCTCTGCATGTCTGTTGAGGCTGGTGTCTACCCAAAGAGGATGCTTCTAGAGAATTCTGTCAGAAGAGGGTTTTGTCACACTCCATGCAGAACCTTCATGGTGTGTGGGCGCTGAGGAGAAATAGGCTGCATCTTCCCTTTGAGGACAGAAGGTGCCCAGATGCCACAGAAACAGCTCTCCAGCTAGAGGAAGGGCCCTTAGAGGATCCGACCCCAGTTCCTGGTATATATGAAGGCGCTTTCTTGTGAAGAGTCATACTACTTTACATGCACCAAATTTCAGAACACTAGAGTGAAGAGATATTCATAAAGATTAAAATAGTAAGTGGAAGGTAAATAAATTACCCCTAAGTAGAATGTAAGGAACATATAGGACAGTGATGGCAAACCTTTTGAGCTCGGCATGTCAGCATTTTGAAAAACCCTAACTTAACTCTGGTGCCGTGTCACATATAGAAATTTTTTGATATTTGCAACCATAGTAAAACAAAGACTTATATTTTTGATATTTATTTTATATATTTAAATGCCATTTAACAAAAGAAAAATCAACCAAAAAAATGAGTTTGCGTGTCATCTCTGACACGCGTGTCATAGGTTCGCCATCACTGATATAGGACATGTTACCCCCTGAAATGGTCTAGCTGGAGAAGAAGAGGTGAAAAAGGCTGCAGATCAGTTCTGGGATAAGTTAATAGTAGATAATAAAGATCCACCACTGAGGTCTTGAAGGTCCATCCCTAGGATCTGAGTCCGTCATAAGGTTCCAGGCCATATGCCAGGTCACAAGGCCTAGGCTTTTGGACCTGACTCCTTACTTAGCAGGTGGAATGTGCCTCCCCTGAGACTCCCAAGCTTATCTCTGTGCTTCCAAAGGCAACAGTGGGAGCAGCCACAGCTCCCACCTGGCTGGGCCCAGAGACACTTATCAGAGAGGCCCCTCCAGCCCTCCACCCTGTCAAAGAAGTGTTTGGCTAGCCATTAGCACCCAAGGCAAGAACTGATCTCTTCTTGTTTGGGAATTAAGAGTTCAGAAGATAAAAAGGGCGTTCTGAGCCTTTCATCATGGCCTCATGCTTTGTGTTAACTAGGCCCTAATTCCAAAACTTTCCTCTCCTCCATGGAAGCCCCCCACCCTGACATCTGATGCAGGGGAGGTAGGTGTGGATGTTCTGGTGAGGTTCTGGTGTTCTGCCCTCCCCCGGCCAGTCGATCCTCTTCCCATCCCCTGTCCCCTGCCCTTTCCAACTGAGATGCCTGCTCCCCACTTCTTCCTCTTCTCTCATGGAATCATGTCTTGCAAGGAACTGACCCAAAACCTGAGCTCTAATCTTAATTCTGTGACGATAAGTCCAAGATAAAGACAGTGAGAATCCTCTGAGGGGAAAATGGACTTTTTAAATCAGTTTGGAAATGCCACTTCAGGACAAATCCTTTTTCCAGGAGTTGTTGGCTCCTTGGAGCTTCTCAGGAGTTTCTGGGGCTCAGAAGAAGCATCTCCACCCGGCAGGTGCTCAGCTGTTGACTTAGTGTGATAACAGAACCCTTTTCTTGTACTTGCAGTGAGGACCGAGTGATTGAGCACTACAAGAAACTGAATGGCCAGACCAGAGGTCAAGCTATTGTGAAGTAAGTGCCCCCCCGTGCTCCTGAGATCGTGTTATGTCAGGGTGTTCAGTTCTTCTCAGAAAGCCATATCTCCGGGGTTGGGGGCAGGGGGGTGATTCAAGTTAATTTCCAAGTAAATAATCACTCCAAGAACTTTATCATGCACACACACACACACACACACAAATATGTACATGATAGTTCTGCCAAATAACCACCCCATGTGTGTGTGTTGTCTTCCCAGCTACATGAGCATCGTGGAGTCTCTCCCAACCTACGGGGTTCACTATTATGCAGTGAAGGTAAGTAAATTCATTTGATGATGGTTGTTAAGCCTGTCATAAATTTTAAAAAAGAATCTCATTTTTAAAAAAAAGTTTCTTGAAGATTTTTGGGGGCATGGAGGTTGGGGAGGATTTGGTCAGGAAGATTGCAGCTTCAGAGGGATTAGAGCAACCTTTCCCTAGGCTAGTAGGACTGGATTCGGTTACTCTCCAACACTCAGCTTTGCTTTTGAAAAGTGGGTATGACAGATCCCTACCTCCTTTCATTCTCAGAAGGACCCTGGAAGATCAGGGTCTCAGAGCCTCTCAGTAGGAAGATTCCATCGAAATACATGGAACTGTAGAGAACAGAAACTTTGAGCTGAATCAACAGTGTTTTTCTTGGTGGTCAAATGCCACACAGGCAACTTGAGAGGTGGACTGGATTGTCAGCTGACAAATGGAATGAAGGACTAAGAAGACAGGATCTGTCTCCTTCAATATTGTGATGGCAAGTCCAATGTGACATGGACCCCATTCTAAATTCTCTTTAACTTTATTCATAATATCCCATATTGGGATCCCTTCTTTGAAATAATAGATAATGATGTACCCATGTGTCCTTTTCTATGATGAGAAAGCATAATTTCCCTTCCTTACTTTACCCCAACATGAAAAGTTTAATAAGTCATTGCCTCCAGGCCAAAAAAGAGCAGGAAACACTTCTGAATTCAAGATACTTTCACCAGACAACCTGAGATTCTCTTGCTCTTCTACCAGTTTCTTTTCTCTTGTTTCTGCCCAACTGTATTTTTAATTTCTGTAGACTAGAACATGCGCCATGTTTTATTCATCTGTGTCACCTGTGCAGTTTTCACACTTTGCATGTCCTTGGTATGCATTTAATTGCCTGTATCATCCAGTAAACTGCAGGCATTTGATGGCAAACACTGTGTTGCATTTGGTTATATATTCTTGGAACCCAGTGTAGTGCCTGGCACATGGATTTACTGAGTGTTTATTGAAAATTGAATTGAGTAGTTGGATGTATACATTTCCATCATGGAAACAAGTATTGGAACACTCTTTGTGGAGCCCAGTTCTGAGGCATATGCAGGGACTCTAATCCCACCCAGTAGCTCAGCTCAGGATCTCTTAAAGCCTGAAATGGTTACATTCTTCCTGATGCCCTACCATAGTTCTTCCTACCAATGGAAGCTCTTTTTTTTTTTAAATTCTCACCTGAGGATATGCCTCCATGGATTTCTAGAAAGAATAAAGGGGGGAGAGAGGAGGGAGAGAGAGGGACATCGACCCGTTGCCTCCCACACCCTGGGGGATCACCCAACTGGGGATCAAACCCACAATCTAGGTATGTGCCCCAACCAGGAATTGAACCTGTGACCTTCTGGTGTACAGGGCAATGCTCCAGCCAGCTCATCCCCCCAGCCAGGGCCCAGCAAAAGCTCTTAATCCCTCTTCATCTCATTCACAGAACTCATAGAACCATCACAACCATCTCTTCCCTTCTCAAGCCTAAACTGTAGCATGTCATGAGGAATGTGATGTAATCTTTTGCGCTATCTCTGATCCCAAAAGAGAAAGATGAATTCTCTAAGGAGATTACCCCGTGTAAGGCCGTGCCCCGGAATGTGGCCATTGAAGTCAGTGGGCAATTGGGTTTTACAAGAAAAGAGGCTCGGAATGCACTGTGCTGGCTAAGCCCATTTCCACTTTGTTACCACAAAGGAAACATGAGGATCCAACAATAGTTCCTGACATTACAAGAAGCATCTCACAGAAAGCACACTGTCTTTCTCTTTTGTGGAAATAGTCTTTGGGGATAGGTAGCCAGGGGGCTGCTTTCAAGAATGGGAACCAGGAACTCAGGAATTCCTGGACCACATTCTCTGTTTGTTCTTAGTTTGATCTCATCTCCATCTCTTATAATTGAAATAGAGATTAAAAATTTTGTTTCTCTAACTACCCCCACAAAAATCTTCTAGCTATTGAAAGACTATAGAGATGCAATGTTAATGAAGAAGATGTATTGAAATGGATAGATTGGAAGTCTTTGAGATAAGGCTTCACCTATTCTTTTACTTGCTTATTACACCCATGTTCCATTTCTTCATCAGCCCTGGAGCTTGACAAAAAGGTGGCCTCTGATATCTATGATTTCTGCCTTCCAATAAAACTTCAGAAATGTGCTCGCTCCTTTGCAGTGTTAGAAACCAGCAGTAGGCCTTCTGACTTTCAGAGTGCCAAGTGCACGTGTGGGTTTGGATTTTGGAATCTCTAGGCGTAAGCAAATGCTCTCCTGCTTTCTTGGAAAACAAACAGGAATCCAACAAGCCTAAACCACCGTAGCAAGACCCCCTGTTTGGTGGCCTCGCAGATGCCATATCCTGTGGTGTGGCGACAACCCCTACCTATTCAACCTAGCATTGCCACAGCATTGGGTCTCTTTGATGTCCTGTTCTCTGAAACCACTGCAGTGCAGAGGCAGGGACCGGGGTTTTATAGCTTTAAAAAACTTTTAAAGAAATCTTACACCCTGAAACTTTTCTAAAAATTCAAAATATCTTTCTTTTGCCCTTTAGCTTCGTGCTCACCTTGAAATAACTCTGCCTCACAAGTATTTGGTATTTGAAAACCATGAAGCCAATTTTGAGTTTTCAGGACATTTACAATGGGGTGTATTTGGTGATTCATCGATGTGGCGATTAGGACAAATCTGGGGAAAGGCTGCTTGATAGGCCCCCTGTCAGCTCCTAGCATTTGGGAGCTTGAATTAACAGCTCAGTTATCCTACTTGAATGTAGAATTACAGCTTACAGTCTGGGGACAAGAGGTCTCTGTTAAAGGAGTAAACAGAGGGAATTGGTGTTTCTAATTCAGTCCTCAGAACGTCTAGGCTTCAGTGTTGCTGCTTTGTCCACAGCATGAGTCACACAATCCTGCTGGCACCCTGCTGTCCTCTTAGGGTGAGCAGGGCTGCATGGAGAGCACCTGCTCTCCGCCCTTGCTCTCCTAAGGGGAGGGGAGGGGCCTTAGTAGAGCAGGACTGACCCTTTGCTGTAGTTTATTTTTCTTTAAAATTAGAGGAATCTTAAATATAAGTTACTAAGTGAAAGAAGCTAGTCTAAAAAGCTACTATATGGCCTGGCCAGTGTGGTTCAGCGGTTGAGCATCGACACAGGAAATAAGATGTTGCCAGTGTGGTTCCTGTTTGGGCACATGCCCGGGTTGTGAGCTCCATCCCCAGTAGGGGCTGTCCAGGAGACAGCCAATTGATGATGTTCCTCTCTCATCAACGTTCCTATCTCCCTCTCCCTTTCTCTCTCTCTAAAAATCAATAAAAACATTTTTTTAAAAAGCTACTGTATGATTCCAACTCTATGACATTCTGAGAAAGGAAAACTGGTTGCCAGGAGTTGAGAGGGAGTGGAGGAATGACGAATAGTGGAGCACAGAGGATTTTTGGGACAGTGAAAATACTCTGTGTGATATTATAATGGTGGATACGTGTCAGTATGCATTTGTCCAAACCCATGGAATGTACAACACTTAGAGGGAACCCTAATATAGTGGACTTGGAGTGTCATGTAAGAAATGCAGCACTCTGGGGGGATGTTGTTAGTGAGGAAGACTGTGCATGTGTGGGTGCAGGGGGTGGACTGGAAATCTCTGTCCCTTTCAATTTTACTGTGACCCTAAAAGTGCTCTAAAATTTTTTTAAATTATTTTTTTGAGGAGTGGTCATCCCTGTCCCCATGGTCCTTTCTAGCTCTGAGCTGATGACAGTTTCTCTGCTCAGAAGGCCGTTTTATTAGAATGCTCAGCACCTCAGATTTTCCCTTGTGGTCCCCAGCACTGAAAGCCTAACATCTCAGGAGAACAAAGAACAAGGCATTGCTACTTACTCATAAAGGGGGAAGGACCATGGCTGTGCTGCTGGGTAGGAACTGAGCTGGGTCCTTGGCCAGGGCACTTTCTAGGGCACCTGTTCCTATCCCTGAGCATCATCTGATGACTGGGATCATCTGCTAAGGTAAAGTGTGGAGAGATGGGCTCCGTTCACTTCAAGGAGTTTACATTTCCTTGTCTTGAGATGAACCAGGAGGTCTTCTGTTTGTGCTTATCTTCTCTGTCCCATACTTACACATATCCTGTTGGTGTCCCAGGACAAGCAGGGGATCCCGTGGTGGCTGGGACTGAGCTACAAAGGAATCTTCCAGTATGACTATCACGACAAAGTGAAGCCACGGAAGGTACGTGCTCGCTTTTGTGAGACAGAGGAACAGCGGAGAAGTGAGTAAAATGTTATGCCGCGCAGCCTGAGGGCCTCTGGGCTCACCACGCCCTTGCTACTGTGAGTGTGTGCAAATTACTGCGCAGAAATCTAGCCTGAGCTCCCTGGGTAAATGGTTTTTTCCCATCAATAAGGAAAGTAAGCAGTTTTAATTATTTAAGGTGAGACTGGCTCAGCTCTCCCTGAGGAAATGGGCGAAAGGACTCTGAGGGATTGTCCTTTCCCTTAATTTCTGGGGGTGTTTTGCCTTCAGGAAAGTAGGGGAAGGTCATTCTTGAATCCTGAAACTAATCTGCATTTTCCCAAAGCGTGTGTGTGTGTGTGTGTGTGTGTGTGTGTATGTGTGTGTGTGTAGGAGAGCTAAAAGAAGAGATTGTAGGTCAAAAAGAGATGAAACATGAGAGGCATTCCTGCAAATCCGGTAAATATTTTATGGCGGGTCAGAAGTGATCAGAAATCTGGGGAAAATCAGGTCATTTGCCAAAAAGAAAGGAAAGCAGAGAGGGATCTGCAAAGTCATTGTGAACACAGAAAAGAATGTTTGAAGGGGGCACAGTGCTTGCGTTTTCTCTGTTTTCATTGACACACATTTTTCAGACCAGAACAAATTGAAAAATTATAAGGGAAAAATATCTCTGAGGCAAGAGCTGTCATTCAGATCCTCTGGCAGAAGATCATGGAGAAAGGCCGGTATATAGTTTAAACCCTGAAATACATATCAAAAGTCTCAAAACCACACTTGCTGTATGAGAGAGAAAGCAATATTGATCCATTATGTCATTCCAGATTGCTCTCCAGGCTTTGTTAGCCACGCCCAGGATTGAAATGCACATTGTACAGCTGAGCGTATCTCGTCTATCCTGTTACACCCACTCTCAGCCAACTCTTTATAATTGAATGGGGGAAATGGCCCGTGTTGGGGAGGATTTTCACTCAATTCATCAGAAGTCAGTTAAGTTCTAAGAATAGATCCTGAGCAAATGATGTGAAGGAATTCTGTCGTGGGAACAATTCAGTAGGCATCTGACTATTCAGAGCATGTTATTTTGTGGGGATCTCCCAAAACCCTCTAGTTTGCACTTGGATCCTGTAAAACAGGAATTGGACCCTGTGTTTTTATTTTCCCTCTGTTTTTCTTGGTCACATTGTCTCTTTCTTCCTGCTCCCCTCTGCCTCTTTCCCATATAAATGCCTGTGCTTTTTCTCCTCCAGTTTTCTCTTCACTCCCTCCTTCTTTTTATACTCACAGTCCTCTCTTTTCAACCTGCATGGTGGTTTTTTTCTGCTTGCAAGAACCAAGAATAAATAATGGCAGATCCTTTATCAAAATGCTGGTTACGCTCTATCCAGCTCTTCATTGCCCACATTGGTAGAAGGCCAAGGCCAACGTGGACACTTCAGTTTCATAGCCGAGTTCATTAAAATCCAGCGGTTGAATCCTCCTCTCTCTCTTGGAGCATTTTGAAAGACATGTTAACAAGTACCCATACATTTTCAGTTTAAGTTCTTAATATGTTTAAGTTTGCTTTGTTTCTCTAATTGAGGTACTAATGAAGATTGAAGAGGTAACAAGATAACACTTGGGTATGACACATTCCAAGGGCTCAATAATTATAACTGATAAATTCAGAGGCTCTTAAGACTCTAAAACAGATTTCAAGATAAGAAGTAGGAAGTCAGAGGTGTGAATAATCAGCCATTGAGTATGAGCTTTTACTCTCATTTGTGGAGCTTGCCCAGGTCATTTAACATTCAAAAATGTTAAAAGGTCAATATATTTATTTAGGATATTGGCTCTACTCAGAATGAGTTATTACTCAAAATAGCCTATTCTTCTCTAGCCTCTGGGGAAGTAGTTGGGATTCTCAAGTCTCCTGCCAGTGAGGGACAACCAAGCCATCAGGGTCAATGCTGATTCCTTCTTTCCTTCCTTCCTTTCTTCCTTTCTTCCTTCTTTCCTTCACTCATTTTTATTTCTTTTATTTTTATTTTTTTTAGAGGAACACAAATTTTATTTGAAGCAAAGGGGTATAACATGGCCAGTCACCTGAACAGTAAATAGATTTCTCTAATACTTTACTATATTACTTTTAATATTTATTTTCATATTTTTTGTATTTTTTAATTTTTTTAAATTAAATCTTTATTGTTCAGATTATTACAGTTGTTCTTCTTTTTACCCCCCATAGCTTCCCTCCACTCAGTTCCCAACCCACCCTCTGCCCTTACCTCCCCCGCCACTGTCCTCATCCATAGGTGTACAATTTTTGTCCAGTCTCTTCCCCCAGACCCACACCCCTTTCCCCCCGAGAATAGTCAGTCCACTCCCTTTCTATGCCCCTGATTCTATTATATTCACCAGTTTATTCTGTTCATTAGATTATTTATTCACTTGATTTTTAGATTCCTTTGTTGATAGATGTGTATTTGTTGTTCATAATTTGTATCTTTACCTTTTTCTTATTCTTCCTCTTCTTAAAGGATACCTTTCAGCATTTCATATAATACTGGTTTGGTGGTGATGAACTCCTTTAGCTTTTTCTTAACTGTGAAGCTCTTTATCTGACCTTTAATTCTGAATGATAGCTTTGCTGGGTAAAGTAATCTTGGTTGTAGGTTCTTGCTATTCATCACTTTGAATATTTCTTGCCACTCCCTTCTGGCCTGCATAGTTTCTGTTGAGAAATCAGCTGACAGTCATATGGGTACTCCCTTGTAGGTAACTGACTGTTTTTCTCTTGCTGCTTTTAAGATTCTCTCTTTGTGTTTTGCTCTTGGAATTTTAATTATGATGTGTCTTGGTGTGGTCCTCTTTGGATTCCTTTTGTTTGGGGTCCTCTGCGCTTGTTGGACTTGTAAGTCTATTTTTTTCACCATGTAGGGGAAGTTTTCTGTCATTATTTCTTCAAATAGGTTTTCAATATCTTGCTCTCTCTCTTCTTCTGGCACCCCTATAATTCGGATGTTGGTACGCTTGAAGTTGTCCCAGAGGCTCCTTACACTATCTTCATATTTTTGGATTATTTTTTCTTTTTGTTTTTCCGGTTGGGTGATTTTTGCTTCTTCATATTTCAAATCTTTGACTTGATTCTTGCGATCCTCTAGTCTGCTGTTGGAACTCTGTATAATATTCTTTATTTCAGTCAGTGTATGCTTAATTTCTAGTTGGTCCTTTTTCATAACCTTGAGGGTCTCACTAGATTTCTTGAGGGTCTCACTAAATTTATTGCCGGTTTCTAGAAAATTCTTGAAAAACCTAATAACTGTGGTTTTGAACTCTATATCCAGTAGTTTGCTTTCCTCCATTTCTGTCATTTGTGACCTGTTTCTTTGTCTCCGCATTTTTTATGCTTCCCTGTGTTGATAGAGTGGCTTTCTGTGCTAGGTGTCCTATAGGGCCCAGTGGCTCAGCCTCCCCACTTACCTGAGGTGGACACTCTTGGTGCACCCCTTTGTGGGCCTTGTGCACAGTCTTGTTGTAGTTAAGCCTTGATTGTTGTAGGTGTCACTGGGAGGAATTGACCTCCAGGTCAATTGGCTGTGAGAGTCAGCTGTGTCTACAGTGGGAGAACTTCTGTGCTGGAGACACCCTTAGGGGCAAGACTTGCTTCAGTGGGGCTTTGGTGCTCACTGAGTCTGCCCCCTGAATGTGTCCCTTATGGATCTGAGGAGTTATAATCTGGATGGTCCCAATCTGACTACTGGGTACACTGGCTCTTGGATCTCTAAGGAGGTGCTAATTTAGCCTCTACCTGAGGCTACCCAGCAGGAGCTATGGAAAGATCTGCAGATTCCTCTTCTTTGTTTGGGGTTTGGAGGTGCCCAGATGAGGTCCAGCTGTGAAGCAATGCAAGCTGCTGTGGGGCCTTGGGCCTTCTTTTGGATGTTCTGGGTCTCTCTGACCCAGCTGCAGTTTGTTAGGTAATTTTAGATTGCAAAGGGCCAGGTCATTCATATGCAAAAGCCTCTGCACACAGCTTGGGTAGGACAAGGTCTCAGGGAATCAACAGGGCAGAGCAAACATCTATGGTTGATCCTCAGCCCTGCCCTAAAAGGTCAGTGTCCCAGTAATCGCTGCAAGCACCCTTGAGAGAAAGCTGCCCTCGAGTTCCAACCGATGCCAGACAGTCCAGTTTCTCCCCGTATGTCCCCAGAGACTCGCCTGGAACTGGAGTTCAGAGCAGTTGGGAGCTTGTGTCTCCCTCCTGATTGAAAAAGACAGCCGTGTCCTCAGTTGCCAGCCCTTTCCACGTGTGCCCCTGTACCTCTGCACTTTACTTCTGCACCTCCTCTGAGTCTCAGTGTGCTTTTCTCTTTCCTTCTAGTTGTAGAATTTCCACTCGGCCAGCCTTCCTGTGGTTCTGGGTGATGTCCTTTTTGTCCTTTAGTTGTATTTTTTAAGTGGTTGTGCGAGGAAGCAGTTTCCAGTGTTTACCTATGCCGCCATCTTTGTTTTTTCTTTCCTTCACTCATTTTTAAATGTTCATTGTATAGCTGTTGTGCCAAGCAGACTGAAGGGTGCTGAGATAAACAAGAAACACGTCATATCCTCAGCTTGCCCAGGCTACCTGGAGAGGGCTGTGTGGCAATTGCCTCGGGTACCAGTGCTATAACAGGCCTGTGTGAGGGTTGGTGGTGAATTAAAGGACAGAGTCTCTCCTGGACTTACAGGGGAGAGACACATATTCATAAGCAGCACAGCAGGGCTGGGTCCTAAAGGGTGGACAGAAGTTTTGCAGATGGACAGATGGGCTGGGGAGATGTGTGGGCTGAGAGCCCTGGGCTCAGTAAGGCACACGAAGGAGAACTGGGTGCCTGGTGGGGAAGATATGCACCATTGAGGCTGGAACAAGGGCTGAGAGGAGGCAACTACAGAAGGGGCTGAGGAGGCCCAGCGGCCGCTCCCCCAACCCTGAAGGCTTTGCTAAGAGGATTTCCTCTTCAAGGCCCTGGGATCCA